CTCAAACACTTTTTGAGTTATGCTCCACTCAGGTGAAAAATTAGGTATGAAAAATAACAAAGGGCAATAACTCAAAAATTATGAAAGGTAGAGTTATCATTCTTGTGCACTGCACACCTCCTGAGTGAGATCTATGCACATATGAAGTTTCATGTTAATATCTCATAGGCTTTTGGAGTTATGCTCTGGACAAAAATCAATTTTGAAAAATAACAAAGGGCAATAACTCAAAAATCATGCAAGGTAGAGTTATCATTCTTGTGCACTGCACTCCTCCTCAATGAGGTCTATCAACCTATGAAGTTTCAAGTTGATAACTCAAATACTTTTAGAGATATGCTCCGGACAAAATGTCGGACGGAAGGACGGACGGACGGAAGGACGGACGGAAGGTCGGACGGACGGAGACTATTTCTATATCCTCCGCCGAACTTTTTCGGCGGGGGATAATAACCACACTATCCGATAAGATGCGGCATTTTTTTAAAGTCACAAAAACTTATACAATGTTTTCTCATGATAATAAATCCTTTTATCATACGTCAACATTTCGTCATTAAATATTCCAAACCATAACTTTAAAAATGCTTTTTCTGTTAAAAATATAGGGTATTTAAGTTTGAGTGTCATCAAATTTTAGTAACGTCATCAGCCGTTCGCCACGTTTTAATGATTACATCGACAGCCTTTCATCAGCAAGAATGAAAAACGCTGAAAGCCGTTCAAGGAGCTTTTGTGCCACAGTAACTTTGAAAGAGTTAAACATTTTTGTTCATTTAAAATATTACTTTATTCATGATATATTCTAATAGACGTCATGCTTACGAAATCCATCTAGTCTTCAATAATTTCTAAATTTTCCACCATAATAAATGATTTTTTACAGCATGTTAATTAATTTAAAGTATGATTATTAGTTAGTTAGTTAATTGGTTAGTTAGTTAGTGAGTTAGTTAGTTAGTTAGTTAGTTAGTTAGTTAGTTAGTTAGTTAGTTAGTTAGTTAGTTAGTTAGTTAGTTAGTTAGTTAGTTAGTTATAATATTTATAATAACGCTTGATGGATTCCTTTATTTATGAGACTGAATTTTCGTATTAAGCGTTTAATTTGTCTTTACCTACTTTGAATTTAACATTTCAGAAACATATTTATAGATCTTGCTACATTTTTATATTGAAATACAGTGCGGTAAATGGAGACTAAGGTCTCTCAGCGAAGATACAACAAATAATAGCCCGTTAAGAGAACTCAGGAACAAACAAACAAACTAACTAACTAACTAATATTCATACTTTAAATTTATTTACATGCTTTAAAATAAATCATTTAACGTAACGTCATTTTTCATTTGATAATCGTGACGTTTATAAAAATATAGCTTTATATACACGGCTGCTGTCGATTCATGAAGAAATCTTAGTTTTTTTCTCTAAAAATGATGCTTGCTGTATTATAAATTCGTTATAAAGATTGTTGACAGGTTATATGGTCGTATATAAACGGCTGTTTGCAATATAACCCTCGCCTAACGGCTCGAGTTATATTTACAAATAGCCGTTTATATAGGGCCATATAACCTGTCAACGATCTTAATAACTAATAATATAAATATCACGATTATCCAATGAAAAGCGACGTAAAAAACGTGCAGTATTATAAAACAATCATAACATTACTATTGGCAATAAAAGTATTTACTTTGGAAATCTTGGTATGATAAGGGAATTCGCTATATTTTTGATATCTTACAAGACAATGGCCAGTTCTATACTGCAGAAGAATTAGGCAAGATCTTCAATAGTAATATCAATCATCTTTTATATTTAGGAATTAGAAAAGCAGTTACAAGCTTTTTTAAAAGTGTCTGCTTCAACCCTGTAACTTTTAACCCATTACTTCATGAGCATTTTGAGAAAAAATGCTGATTTCATTGAAAAGTCTCCCGTTACAAGTTCAAATTGCAATAAAACTATAAAAACTGCCTCAATACTAATCAAACTTGGCACAAATGTTAACTGGACCATTGCCTTTGCAACAATATGCTCAGGCCTAAATTTCCTGTTACCATGGCAACGAGGGGACATCTCAAAATTGCCAAATATCACTATTTTGCGTTGCTTTTTTCCCATCAAAATTGATTTCAAAGTGCTGCAACTTCTCAATGGATTGAGACAGAGTCAAATGCTGTCAGCGTTGGTTACACGTTACCTTATGACCGATCTGGGGTCATTTAGCCTCTCACAAGTCCAAAATTTTCTTGGCGATGAGGGGGACTGCCGCCCCCTTCAACCCCCCCAAACAGAAGGGGGCTCATCCCCTTTCTGGCAACCCCCTGATGTATGTTTCGGTTTGGGGATCGCGCCGAAAAAGTGATCACTTTTTACACAACATTTCTCAAACAAAACGAAGTGTTTGGGGCCTAAATAAGGCATTTTTTCACCATTTGAGACAACAAATAGGGGGGGGGTGTAAAAGGCGTTAAAAGGCGTGTATATCGCGTAATGGGTTAAGAGAGAAAAAATCCCAACAATTCCAATACACATTAAAGGGATAGTTAGAGACCAAAAGGACTAAAATATATGTATGATTCGCTCAATGTCAATTCCAGCAAGCCCGTTTGTCAGGTGAAATGTTCACAAGAACTATGCCTCTCAAATGATGATGAATACTGGAAGAATATATATAATTTACCATTCAAATTGACAAAAGCTACTTATATACAATGGTTCCAAGTAAGACTTATCCATAGGATTTTGGGTACGAATAATCTTTTGTTCAAAATGAAATGTGTAACAGTCTCTTATGTAGCTGTTGTTATCTTCATAATAAAACTATAGAACATATCTTTTGGGAATGCATCCACAGCTATAAACTAATACACGAAATTTTTATAGATAAACTAAACATGCAGAACTTGAATAAAGAAACTATGCTTTTTGGTTACACTTACGGAAAGAATATAATAAATCTTGTATACAATTTAGTCCTTTTATATGTCAAAATGTTTATTTTTAAATGTAAAACTCAAAGAAAAATACTATCTTTTGCTGGTGCTATAAAGTTTATTTCATATGTTCTAAAAGTAAATGAAGAAAAAGCTATCCAATGTGGATATCTTCACAAATTTAACAAAGACGGGCATACTATTTCAAATACATATCATAAATCATTATTATAATAGAGTCCTATCCATTTTTGACCAATCTGATAATGATAAATGTGAATCATCCAAATACTTTTTCGTATGTTTATGCTAGGAGCGACCTTTTCAGTTTTCATACCTAGCGATGAGCATACTTGGAAGAATAAATTCATGTTTGTAGTATTTTAAACGTGTCCTGGCCACAAAGTGTCTGTCTTTGATGTTTTTGTAGTGTTATATTGTTGTTTTCTTTTGAAAAAAAAATCACACTTTTTCGTCTATCTATTTATTCTATCGTCAAGCCTCCTAGCTAACCACATTAGTATGTGTATTACTAATAAATATAGATAAAAGTGATTATGTTTTGATTAAGGCATAATGTAGCTTCAAGATTTGTTGAAACTACCACAAATAAATTGTGCCCCGTAAAAATTGCAGTACTTAAAAATAACTGTAATTATTCTGGTAGATGTAGAAATATTTTCTACGTCTTGAACTTATAACCTCCTTTACATATTCAATTTTTCAAATAAATATTTGCCGTGTTTTATTTTATGTTAATACTATGTTAACTTATCGTGTTTTAACTAGATTGCACACATTATTGTAAGACTGTTAATGGATGGACCTCCGACCGTGACGGGGGCAACGGGGTTACCTTTGGGCCTGAAATAGAAAACAAGAATAGTCGAGCGTGTTGTCCTACCGACAGCTCTTGTTTACTTTTATCCTAACTTACAACAAATATTGTAAATTAAAGTAAACGTTAATTTAGAAAATTGGTTTAAACAATATTTATTTTCACTAAATTGCTCTAATTTATACATAAACACTCATAAAACTTTACAGACATATTCAAAATTAAAACAAAACTACAATGTATACAGAAATTAATAAGTGTACTAAACTGGCTATCTATCAGAATAGAGGAGAAAGGTAGAATCTTATTCTAAGTCTCACTTGAAACTGACTATCATGCAAAGCTGCCATGATGGTGAAATAATCAATCTGTAATAATATGTTCAAGAAAACGATAGAGAAAAAAAAAAAAGAAAATGAATTGTAAGTTGGAAGAATGTAATTAAATTATAAGTGTCGTGGAGTATACAGTTCAGAAGTTAATATTTAAATAACATATAAAGATAAAATAAACGAGGGTCAAGGGTCAAGTCCATGTGAAAGTTGGATATTTATCACTCGTGAAATGTAATTTTGTACCTGTGATAACAAGAGCCGGTCGAACCGGGTAATGCTCCCCGACCAGGTTTTGGACACAGAAAAGCATTCTTTTGTAGTTTCAGAGTTATGTCGCGGACAAAGTTCAATGTGTGATAATTCCAAACTTAGGTAAGGCAGAGTTACTGTTCTTTGCATTGCACTTCTGCTTAATGAGATTTATCTACCGACTTGCGCGCGACACTTTGTCTTAATATGGTGATCATTTCTGTGAAATAGTTGTAAAATCCGACTTCAAATAAGGAAGTAATGGGCCGGGCATGATTTTAAAGCAAGGTCATGCTGTGACATTGACCTTCAAGGTAGCGACCCAAATGTTGCGCGCGACACGTTGTCTCAATATGGTGATCATATCTGTGAAATAGTTGTAAAATCTGACTTCAAATAACGAAGTTATGGGCCAGACACGATTTTGCTGCAAGGTCATGCCGTGACCTTGACCTTCAAGGTAGCGACCTAAATGTTGCGCTCAACACGTCTCTCAATATGGTGATCATTTCTGTGAAATAGTTGTAAAATCCGTCTTCAAATAACAAAGTTAGGCGACGGACACGAATTCGGGACGTACGGCGGGCTGACTGACGGACGGACGGAAAACCCGGCGACTATATGCTCCCCCGAAATATTTCGGGGAGCATAAAAAATGAGTTAGTGTTATAAAGTTATCATAGTTAAACATTTTTATTTAGGATAGAGACATAATATTTGACTGTTTTGGTCAAATTCTCGATATGGCGAATGACATGAAAAAAGAGGCCGAAAATACACAACAAAGGTATGATTTATATTGAAACTCGTGTATGTTAGATAGATAAAAAGGTCACAAGCAAGAACAATAAATGCCATAAAAATTCTAATAAAATTAATTCTGTGTTTATTTATTTCATAATTTTATAATTTAAACATTTAACCTATTTCAATAACTTATTTAAGTAGTCCAAAACGTACACAAGGTTTCACCTTCGTTTAATTAAGCCTTGATTGTTTCAAGGTACCATGTTATACAAGCTCAAGTTCAGGGAAACATGGCGACAATAGTTGAACAGAACAAAAAAGTTATCGATGAAGAAAAAAGAAGAACAATAGAAATGGAAAGGGAAAAAGATATGTTAAAAGCTTCAAAGTTAAAAGAGAAAATGTTAGAAGAAGAGAAGAGACAAATGGACAAAGAGTTAGAAAACTTAAAGCAATACAGAGACCAGATGAAGGAAGAATCAGGTAAAAGTTCAAAAGTTTGATTTTGAATAATAGTTCAAAAGAATTGCAAATAATGTAAAGAAATATCCGACTAAAGAAATGACTTAAATTTCAGGAAATGAGTTTTTCTTAAGAGTAATTTCGGTCACTTATTGTTAATTCTCCAACCAAGAAATAAGAACTTCAGAAAAATAAGACCAGTATGGAGTGCAATAAATGTATTTTTATTGTAGTGTTTTTTGAATAGTGTCTGTGTTTATGCTTTGATTTCATATCACCGATCATTTAAAGTAACAATCAACTTTGATTTCTGTTAGACATATTGAAAATGCTAACCCTTTTTGCAGTCAATATTATCAAAGAACAAGAAGAGGATGATGATGAAAATAGTTCATTTCTTGACGCTGCTATTGCTCCTGGTACAGCACTTGGAGGAGGCATCGAGGCAGTTATTGGAGTTATTAGCGCAGGGGTTAATCTTTTTAAAAGTGTATTTGGAGGAAAAAAGAAAAAATCGCAGGTATAAAATGAATAAATCACATTTAAGTAGCCAACAAAAAAATCAAACGTGCAACATTTTGATGCAAAATGATATTGCCAGGCAATTACATTTTTGTTGCTATAATTTGTGATTGATCTCATACATTAAGAGCATACTACAAGCCATTGGTTCCTTTTTTATTTAGTAAAATTGTTGTTAAAAAGTTACTACAGTTGTGCCTTTTCAATTTAATGATGTTATAAAATACTAACAGAAAAAAAAGCAATTTTGCGCAAATTGTTCATATGGAAATGGGATACTTAACTTAATTCATTCATATTGTTGGTCATATCTTTGTAATATGTTTAAAATAGGAGTTTTAATGCCACGTACGATTTTCAGTTAAGGTGTACTTCTCTTTATTTCTTTTAATTAGGTCAAATCTGTACAAGAAGCATTCAAAAATAGTCAGATAAATGTTGAGAAGATGCTTGAAAAAAACCAGGATATGATCGGTCGTATGTGCGAGGAACGAGTCAATGCTCTTGAAAGGCTAGCAAAAATTCGTACACTTGCCATGGCTGAGGGTATTTTGATTATTCTTTGCATTTAACATTTAAAGGGAAGAACGTGTGTTTAAATAATGAGGTTCATGTATCGTTGCAAGCTTATCCCAAAAATGAAACAAAAACTAAATCGCATAAAGAATTTTCTCAATTTTCATCAGGGTCTTGATTTATGAAATAAACTAAAACACATTGTTTTTTAGTGCGTGAAGTGTTGACTTACTTTAAGTACATTCTTTTTCAGTTGGTATTGGTAATGCAGAATGTCTTCGAGAAGCTTCAGCTCATCTCGGAGACGTAGACAAGCAATTCACAAGACTCATTCAATTTTGGTGTAACATGGCAGCCGTCCTGGAGTTTTTAAAAAATGATACCAATGCAGGAGAAGTTTACCTAAAGAAAATTGAGAACTCAAAATATGCTGAACGATTTAAAAAATCTATTTCCAGGAGTGAACAGGTATTTGATTAATTCAAATTTATATTTATACTTACATTTTCATTAATGAATAGTTTTCTTCAAAAAGTATACACTGCACTTAACCAATGAGATGATAGATAACATTGACATTAAAATCTGTTTAAGGAATACATATGATACGCAGAAAATATTTATGATACCTGTCTTATCCAGCCATGTATGACATATAATTGTGATAGCTATTATAATTTGGCTGTGGATATTGTCATGTCTTTATTATGATACGTTCTTATCATACTTTCATTATTTTAGCTCACATGAGCAGACTCAGGTTGAAGTTTATGATCGTTGAGTGACCGTCGACCATCGTCTTTCGTCCGTCGTCGTCTGTTGTCCGTCCACATAAAGTGTGTTTATACACTTGTTGTCACATTTTTGCCTAAAATTGTCACCAAAGTTGATCAGAATATTTGTCCAAGCAATTGCTCATACGAGTTTGAACATGGGTCATCTCATCAAGGTCACAGGAGCTAATAATAGAGAAATCTTGATAACACTCTTGTGGCCACAAAGCAAGGTCAGATATACCAAAAATAGAAGAAAAAGAGTAATGAGTAATGTCTAGGTCAATTTCAAATATTGGTTTTAGGAAAGATCTAATAAGGTTCATCTTGGGTCAAAAACTAGGTCACACAACCCGAATATTGAAAACCTGGTAAACACTCTAGGGGCTACTTTTTTGGTCTAAATATCCTGAACATTACAAAAAGTTTCTTAAGATAATCTCTAGCTCAAGTTTGAATATGAGTCATCGGGGGTCAAAATATAGAAAAACCTTGTAAACACTAGATGGTCACATAGCCGAAATAAGGAAAACCCATGTTAACACTCTAGTGGCTACTGTTTTATCCAAAATATCCTAGATATAAGTAAAACAGGTTGTTATGAAGATTTCTAGCTCTAGTTTAAAAATGGGTCGTCTTTGGTTATAAAACAGGTCAGACAGCCCAAATATTGAGAAATCATTTTTACACTCGAGAATCTATCGTTTCGGTCAAAATGTCCTGGTCATAAGGTTATTTACATGATGTCTGGCTCAAGTTTAAATACAGTTAGATATCTGGTGTCAAAAATTTAACTAGGTCACCCAGCTAAAATATTGAAAAGTCTTGTTTTCTCTAAAGATACAATATTTTCAGCTCAAATGGACTGGATATTGATCAGAAAGGATGATTTATTGATTTCATTGAATATGGGTCATCTGGCGAAAAAACTAGGCCACAAAGCCCAAATATGGAAAAAAAAAGTTATTTACACTATAAATGTAATATTTAAACGTCAAATATCTTAAAAATGTGTAAAGAAGGTTGTTGAAATTATTTAATGCCAAATTCGTATATGGTTCATCTTTGAAAACAACTAGGTGACAGCTCATATATGTAAAAAAAACTTCAGTTGTGAACATTATAATGTCAGTTTAAGATAACGACATTTATTTCTGCTTTGCATTCATTGTTAACAATAATAATTTAGTCTCTTAATAATCATGTGAGCGATATATATAAGGGTTGTAATGACTCTCTTGTTTTTATAGGGATGGTCAAACTTTGGTCGTATATGTCAGGATTACATTGTGGAAAGCGATTCAGAGATTGGCATACTGTATGCTTTTTTGTCTTCCCCAATCGACAGCATGTCGGCTGATGATCGCAAGAAGCGTCTACAGGAAGTAATGCAAGGAATAGAAGATGACATAAACAATGCTCTCCCGGAGCAAACATCAAATTAACGATGTCTTACTGAATGCTATGACAAGTCAGTATCTATAACCATAGACTGCTTTAATAAACTATGTGAGACACAAAATTATTGTAATTGTTAAAGCACTTTTTTCAATTTCAGTGTATTTGCTTAAATGTTTTTTTATCCTTTAACTTATTTTGTTTGCTCATTCACACCTAAAGTATTTTGTTTGTAACTACTATGTACAAACATTATTAGTTTCCACTTTTAGTTCTTTATTTTGAGTTTCCAAAACTGACATACATGTATCGCTATTTATTCAATATCTATGGAATTGAAGTAGCTAAATATCAATTATTTTTTACTTGTCAATAAAAATACTTTGAAATCTTTAAATATTCCAAAAAGTTCTAGTATTTCTTGTACTCACAAAAATTAGTAAAGAGAAACTGTGTAATAGTTTTTATTTTTGTTTTGTGTGGTTTTAGGGAATATTTATATATAACTGTGCTGTCTTGTTGAAATAAAAAAGTAAAGAAATTAATTTGTTGGCGTACGAAATTATCTGAAGATATATGTTTGGTTTACTACTTGGTGACTTAATGATAATTAGGTGAGCTAAAACAACATTTTTGTAAATTTTTGAGATGCATTTCAGAATATTCTTCCGTGTTAATGTTTAATTGTTTATGTTATACCTACAATATACACAATGGTGCATTGGCTTCTCATGAGAAACAATACAGAACAAGGAGTTTAATTTTGTGTTGACTTCCGGCAAAAACTTATTATTTCAGCAATACTCTGTCTGATCTTTAAAAAACGCAGTTGAATAACATGTTCTACTAAGAAACTTGAACAAGTTTAGCTAATACACAAGTGCACTTAATATGCCTTTTTTAGCGTTGCTAAGATCCATACCATTATCATTTCTGTTTAAGATTAAAATTCCACCATCCTAGACACTACCCTTACGAGTGTTGTTGGAAAAGAATGACTTACTGCGCTGATTGTGACTCGATATTGACAAAGAAATTTCGAAAATTCTCTACGACTGGATAGGTCCTTTCGATACCAACTTTGTATACATTTTCCGATATCAATTTATAGCGAACTTGTCATTTGAATACACATAGTCATTAACTACTGTATATGAAACAAGTTGGCAACAGCGTAGATAAGAAAGGAGAAATACGGTCTTTTATAAAAGCTCGCACGTTACTTTTTGCTCGTTTAAAGATATTTTAGCAAAATTAGGGTTGTACGAGGGCTGCCCTAAAAAATCGTGAACATTGGCTGTAAAACAAATATTTAACGTTCAAAAGCTTAAATTATTTTACATATGTGTATCTCCATCAATTTAAAGTAAATAATCTTTTGCGATCGTTGTTTTACAAGACTTAGTGTCGTAAGAAATATGTTCTCGTAATAGTTGACGAAAAAAAACAACAACAAAAGTGGGATACCCGTAGTCAAACGATTATGAACGGTGGACATAATTGAAAACATTCCTAATGAAGATAGACACCAAACAGTTATCAGTTTTTCAGAAATGTTAAGCTGTTAAAATTGAGTGTACAGACAATATGTATACGTCTTGTATAAGAAGGTGGCTTGTCGCATACAGTGGTGATACCTTTGAAGAGGATAAACATCAACATAATGTTACATAACGAATTTATGACGTTGTAGCGTGGGCCGCTCTGCGTTACCAGAAAATTTTATAATTTGTTCTGTGTGTAATCAAATTAAATAATATTTTGTATGTTTAATCAGCAACGGTATATTAAGTACCAGTTAACTTTAATTAAAAGGCCGTTGAGTATTTTGTACTTAAAAGCTGTTGTCCATGACTTATTGGGACAACCATCGCATATGGTAATACTTTGCTGTCTAACGACGACATGTTGCACACGGTAAAAAAAGAAATTTTGTTCCAGTCTCCAGTCTTTTGGAAATGCACCAAATTCAGGCAGACTAGAGTGTGTGATCTCAAAGGACAACGTCGCAAAAGTAAAAGAAATCATTGAGAAAGATGCTAGGTATACGGTGTGTCACATAACATAAATGGCATTACTATGTCAATAACAAGTGTAAAATTTAATCTGAAGAAAACTCTGATTGTTAGAAAGGTAAATGCTAGGTGGGCACCTCATTTGTTAGCAAATGATCAAAACGGGTTATCATTGCCAAAAAATAAAATTAAAATGTTTCCAGAATACAGTGAAAATCCTCTATTAAGACCACCAAAGGGACTGAACTAAAGCGGTCTTATTTGCGAATTGGTCTTAATTATGAATATTATTATCAAGGAATATATATATTCCATGACCACTCTATTTGTATTATTGTGTATAAATGTAACCTGTGTATTGGTTTCTGTTTATCACTGGTATATTGTATCCTCCGTGTTATGTGGTATTTGGTTGGTATTTACCTAACTGTTGTGTCGTTGTTTGTTTGCCTTACTGTTACAGTATCGGTCTCATATATATGTCATATGATTCTGTAGATTAGGTTTATAAGTGCGTCGACTGAGGATTGAGGGTTATAAGCTGGACTGACGGCGGGCATTTACTGGAAAATATATATAAAACAATATATATTTTGCAATTATTCAAATGTATTTCTCAATCGAATATACAATTCAATGATAACATGGTAGTCTCATCGATGTTGTCAATGTAAACAATGAACAAATATGGCGACGTATTTAGTTTACACAAAGACGCATAGAAAAACATTTTCAAAAGCATTATTTACGAAACAGATTCACATATTAACATACAATATTGTAGAAACATGTATATCAAACACGATGCTATAAAAATTACCTGGAAAATATATATAAAACAATATATATTTTGCAATTATTCAAATGTATTTCTCAATCGAATATACAATTCAATGATAACATGGTAGTCTCATCGATATTGTACATTGCGATTGGTCAATACAGTCAAATATTTAGCATAACAATAGAATAAGGTGTAAAGTGCACAGTTAGAGAGATAGATAAATAGAATGTTACCTGAAACGGCATCCTACATACTATGCTACGGCCTACAGCTACATAGTCTAGTTAAGCTACAAAGATGCTTTAATGATTGGATAATATATTTGAGGGAAAAATCAAATACAAGACAAAATACTATTTCAGGATTTTATTTATATTATCTATAGCAATTGAAGCACCTGTAACATTACTGTGGAAAGTTATTCGTAAGAGAGGTCACTAAGTTGAAAGGTTGAATGGATGTGTTCACTTATATTTCACGTGCATAATCCTAAAATCCCCGCGAAACATTTTCTTGCTTAAGTAATATATTTCCCTTGGCCAGTTCCACATAGTACAGTAACTGATAACATACAGTATAGTTGCAATATTAGTTGTTACTTAATAGTAAACTTGAACATCATTTATGGAAAGTTCTTGTATGCTGAGCCTGGTTAGAATTTATATAATTATGTCATATTCTTTGCCATTGATGAATTGGATGAAATGTGTAATTTTATTATTTTGTAAATCAATTATTTGTAATTCCTTTGTATTTTGTTTGTAGGCTCGTTTTGTGTATGTCCAACAATAAAAATACGAAATAGAAGCAAGTCTTCAATCTTTTATCCCCGGTTACATAAACATGTTTAAACAATTATATTATAACCTTCAAATATTACTATTAACTATTGTCATTTTGTAGAACATGATCAAAGGAAATCACTTTATGTAAGTTATTTAAGTCTTTTCTGTTTTTGGTGTTTTTCTTCTTACTGGAACTTTTTATTTCTATGAATGATAATGAAATTGTGATGCTTTTTGTTCCTTTATTTGCAGCTGTCTGTTCTCCGTTAGAATGTCATCAGTTAAAACTTTTTATATTCTTCTTATTATTTTTTTCTTTGCTTTTGTCATGTGACCACAGAATTATTATATTTGTAATTATTGTATGTAACGAGATACTGTAAATGTATAAGTTACCGAAATAAACTATTTATTCTCTTCTCTCTGTAATCAAAATGATATTGCTGATGAATTTCACTATATATTAAAATGCCCTTTCTTTTGTCTTAGTAAAAGAAGCCTAATTCCAAGTAAATATTACAATAGACCGAACACACTCAAATTCAAAGAACTGGTGCAATCAACTTCATTCTCTTTACTAAAAAATGTTGCTATTTTCTCTAAACGTATAATTTGTCACTAAATAATTCCTGTTCCTTTTATATGAGATATAGCCTAGATAAAAAAAATACAATAGCTTTCTCTCAATATGCCAAATTTGTTTATTTACTTTTTATGAAGAATATTTCCTTGTTTAACCTGTCAGATGCTTACATTTTGTGATCTTTTTAACTTTGTTTTCCTATACTTCAGATGTTACCTGTAATGCTTATATCTTGTTTGTTTTTGTTTACTATATTTTACAGTACTTCAGCTGTCACCCGTAATGTAACCGGCAGCAATTATTGAACAAACATAAAGCAACGGTTTCCAAATTAAAAAAAAAAAAACAATGTTAAGAAATAACTTACCCAGTCAATCGATTGAATCTATACGTTGTTACTTTTTCAACTCATGTGTTAATCCATTCATTTCTTTATTTATAAACTGTATTCCATATTTATATAAACCCACGTGTACACATCCACAAGTCGCACGAGATCTCCAATTACTGAACTGTAAACACCCACACACTTACTGACCTTTTCAGTGCCACACTTGTGAATGTGTACTACGTAAATTGCTGTATAAACGCTAAAATGATTGTACAATTTAAGATTTGATGACCATCAAATATAAGAATATAATTTTAAACTGTCCCCTTTGTTAATAAAATAATAATAATGATTTAATTTTAGTAAATACCTTTTCCACAATTTATATTTTTACCTTAATCTGCATGCAAACTGCCATGTGTATATATATTCTATTTTTGTCTAAGTGATTAAATCATGTTGTTCTCATGTATATGTACTGTAGAACCTGATTGTAAATAAAAGTATATGTCTGTCTGTCTGTCATAATATTTAATTCTAATTAGAACATAAGTGTGAAGAAATTCAATATTAAAGAATAAATTTTCCTAGGTCTTGTTTCATGTACATAATTCACCTATTAGATAAGAAATTAATTCTCAAAAAAAAATATGCAGAAAGAAACATTCACGTTAATTCATTCCGATTGTTTTTACTGTAACATGAAACTATATTACAAAAGAACTTTATGTAGGAAAGGAATGTATATTATTTTTGAGTTTAGTCACAAAAAAATTGGCATCTGCGAGATATGGTTTATAATGATTATATAGATATGAATTTAAGAAGTATGCAAACAGTTATTTTTTTTTTCATTTTTAATTATTGTTGTATTCAGTGATCCTCTATAAAATAAAGCTGGTGTGGTATTTGTTTCCGTAAATTATCGCGAGATAATTATATGTTTACATCGGCTGCCGGTACAGACCTGAGAGTAACAAGGCAACAGTTTTGCAAGATATTACAGCGACAATAAAGTCCGCTCCTGAAGACTTACACAAAACGCGACCTTTCTCAGACTACTTTTGTCGTATCTTTAATACAAGTCAGTAGTATTCCAAAAAATGCCAAATCCACATACCAGATTGAGGTTGAGGTCGCTGGAACAATTGACGATGAGATAACTATTGAAAATGCCGGATTGTTGCAAAAGGCAAAGCTAATCAAATATACATCTACATCTTCAGGTTTTGGTTATGAAACAAATGGATAAAATTGTAA